GTTAAAATATCATTTTGGATATTTATAAAGATATTAAATAAGAATTTTTCTAAGTATCACCGGGGGTGATGATCACCGGTGACTGAAATTATGACGATCGACCAGCATTAAAAAAATATAGTGCCGGTAAAAATTGATAATTCCGGCTAACGGTAATGACCACCCCCGGTGATTTGAAGTTAATAATACTGTATCATTTTTTAGGATATCATATTGTAATGATAAAACATTAAAACGAGGGATGTTAAATAGTTTAACAAGTTCAATTTTGGTCCAAACTAGTAGTAGTTTAAGTAAGTGCTTAAGCAAGATCTAACCAGAAGCTAAAACCTGGTTCGAAAACTGGGTTGAAATCTAACTTTATAATGAAACTTATAACTGAAACTCAATGTGGAACGAGTAAACTTTGATATTTTAAATATGATAACACGTGATGCTGACGAATAACAAAATTTTAATATTTATAAATAATATTAAAGCCAAATAATAGCTAAGAGTCCCTATAAGAAATATGTATACGGAAAGGATACATTTTGTATACATTTTATGTACGTTTTTATAGATTCCGTATACAAATTCCGTAGATAATTTTGGTTGCAATAGGTGGCCTTAATAAGGAGTGAATTTTCATAATGTATTTGTATTTTGTTTATTTTTTATTTTTTATTTAATTTAATGAAGTAAAATTAGATTTATGTAAATATAATTATAGTAAACTGTAATACAAATAGTAAATTCAGTGACCAAATCGTATAAATTTCGTGATAAAATCAGTGATCAAATCATGTAAATTCCATATGAATTCCGTGCAAATTCCGTATCCAAACCATATTTTTAGTGATACGGAATTGTGCATTTTTCCGTATCCTATTATGATACGTTATTTCTAAGGAAAAAAAATCGTATAAAAACTTTATAAAAAACGTATCCAATTTTTTTATAGGGAGTAATTTTATTGTTATAAATAATACTGTAATTAATTCAATTTATTTCAATGATACTAATGAAGATTTAATGAATAACTCACTCTCAAGTGTTCCAAAGATGTCGACTGTCGAGTCAGGTCAAGTTTTGAGGTATATTCAAACTTGACCCGAGCGTAAAAGTAATGACCCGGATTCGACTTAACCCAATTATAGTCTGACTCAGATAACCCGAGTTCAACCTGTCAAGTTGTATTTAGTATAAAAAAATTTTAATTTTTAGTTAAAAATATAATAAAAGATTCAGGTCGCCGGGTGTATAACCCGATTCGACAAGTTCAGGTCATCAAATCGTGTGACCAACCTGACCCCTAAATACGAGTCGGGTCAATAACCTGGGTTTGACCCAATCCTTTCAGAATACTAGAATAAACTTTATTATTTATTGCAGTATGCATTTTTTATTTTTTTATAAGATCTTCTTCAATTAACCCTGCTGCGAACCAAGTTATAAGACAAAGAAATGCACGAACTCTTTCTTGATTCAGAGATTTCTTGTTGGATCTATTGTAAACTCTGCTATACTAAACATTTGTTCACTTGGAACATTGTAGATCTTTTGATTTTGCCTTCCAATGTGCAAGTATATCAACCTTTTCAATAGGCGAACTGAGATATTCTTCAAGAGAATTATTATCATCTGTAAATACACCAAATTCGATGACTTACACGACTCTTTTGTTAGTTATTGTATCATTTGTATTTGAAAAGCTAGTACAAAAAATAATTCATATTGTGCCATTATAAACTTGAGTATAAATTAAGAAAAATTCTAGAGTTATGGTGTAAATTGGTGTATAAATAAATATTGTAAATTTTATAAATTGAAATGAAAATAAAAAAGTTTCAACTAAACATAACTAACTAAAGAACAGATTGATCAAACTCGGTTTGAAAACTAGCATAACGAATAAAGATTGATTTTTATTTTTATTTTTATTTTTATTTCTCAAAGTGAACAAAAGTTAGTACAAAGATTGATAAAGTTGAATTAAGTAAATCACGTGCATCACGTGATTTAGTATAACTAAAAAAAAGGTCTAAAGTTTAAAAAATTTATTTTTTCGGCGAACTTTCCTTTCTCATTTTCCCTTTCCCTCTCTTTTGTAATTCTCTTCTCCTCTTTTCGTTTTCCCTTATCTCTCTCTCTCATACTTCTTTTTCCCTCACTTTTTTCATTTTCTTTAGACGGACATAAATTTGAACATTTTGGACAAGGATTTTGGTAAGGAGGAATGGGTTTAACCTATTTCTTTAACTAAACAATTATTAACATTTCGTTTCTTTTCTCCTTTTAGGTAGCTTTTTGGTTCTTTATTGGTGGATTGTTTTTTTAAAATTTCATCTTTTAAAAACAATTACTAATTTTTTTTTCTTTTTTTAGATGGCCTGGACACGTAGGATCTCGGTAAGAAACCAGCTTTGAAGTTTTGAAAACAGAAATTTGAAACTTTAAATAAAAATTCCATTTTTGTAGGGAAATTGGCTCTAAATTAGAAACTGACCGTCTCGCTTACAAGTTCATTCTTATGTTGTTGAGCAGCTTCTGCATTCTTTTCTTTAACTTTCTCAATGCAAACGCTCTCAATCTTCAGTTCACTTAAATAATAAATAAATGTTTAAACTAAATTTTACTGCTCGTCTTTCAATAGAAATCCCAGATAGATTTCGAACGAAGAATCTGAAACTCAAAAGAAGTTTTTTAACTCTATTTTTGTTTGATTTTATAGGAATCAGTTCCGACTTGGAAACTGGAATCCTAGGTAATGGAAAAAGAAATTCGGAACATTAACTGTTAGAGAAAAAAATTTTTACTATTTTCTTCCTGTTTTGTAGGGAAATTGGTCCCGATGTGGAAAACCAAAATCCCAAATACTGTAAGTTTCAAAAATAGGAATTCAAAGAAAAAAAAATTTTTTTACCCTTTTTTTCCTTTATTATAGGGAAATCGGTCCTAACGTGAACACCAGATTCGCCAAGTGAGTATCGAAAAAAAATTTTTTTGAAAATTCATTAAAAAAATTTTTATTAACCTGTTTTATTTTTTTTTGTAGGACTCCCGTCTTCAGAACCCTTGTAAAAAGATGTTAATTACAGTAACGTTTTCTTTCATTTTGTAGGTTTCCTTTGACTTAATTATTAGGATTCTCGGTATTATATAAACTGAGTGATTTTTATGTTGTTAGGTTGAAGGTAAGTTTTTTTGGGAAAAAAATTTTAAATGATAAAAAATTTTGATTAACGTTTTTCTTTTTTTAGACGGAATGGATCCGATTCATGTACTATGGATTGGATGGTGAGTTTCAAAATTTTTGAAACTAAATTTTTTTAAGGGAAATATTAATGTTTACTTTTTCTCTCCTTTTATAGGAAATGGATTTCTGATTTTTGGGTGGATTGGATGGTAAGTTTTGATTTTAGAAACTTAATTTTTTAGCTATTTTTTTTATTAATGAAATGCTACTAACATTTATTTTATTTTTATCTTACAGAAGCCTGAAGAATTACGGTGGTTTTAAGTAATACAATACTGACCATGATGAAGAAAATCGATGTTATATTTTAAATGAATTTTATTATAATGCGGTATAGAATGAGAATAGATCTAAACTTAGAATTAGATAATATTATTAAAAATTATATAGTATTTTAAATTTTTTGATAGATGACAAAAATATCTGTGCTTAATTTATTATATTTCCACATATTTTTGACATATAATGAAAGCATCCCTATTACATTTTTCGACATATTTTTGATTGCTGTTATCGAGTTACAAAGAAATACGTATGCAATATGATGATCATATTTTAAAAATGATTCTACTATACTATATGTTTCAAAATCGATAGGTTTCATTTATGGCAAGCCGAGTTGGACTAAACTATCAGGCATTGGCCGGATGAAAATCAAGCATGGATTGACAAAATGTTCTGACATTTTACCTGTTCATGCTTGATATTCAGATTGATATTCTATCTGATACCACCTATAAAAACGAAATGAGTTAAATTTGTTTAATATTTGTGCTCATGTGTAATAAATGTCTAAAAAAGCACCATTTTGTTTAATTTTTGCTTTTTTGTAATAAGACATAAATCGGACAAAATGGTGCTTTTTTGGACGTTTTTTACACATGAACACAAATTTAACACATTTCATTTTTATAGGGATATATATATATATATACTCATCTGTCATATTCTTGATATTTTTATCTATCCATCATGCTACATGCTTGATGTTTTATCTGATGTTTTATCTGTCCGTGCTTGATATTTTAGCTGTTCGTGCTTGATGTTTTATCTGTTCATGCCTGATGTTTTTACAGACGAACCAAATATCAAGTACGAACAGTTAAAATATCAATCACATGACAGATAAACATCAAACACGGACAGATGAACATCAAGTATGAACAGGTAAAATGTCAGACATAATGTGACATTTTGTCTATCCATGCCTGATAGTTTAGTCCAACTCGGCTTGCCATATTCGTGCTGTCCGTCTGTAAAAACTCAAGCATGTGATAGATAAACATCAAGCATGATGGATAGATAAAAATATCAATCCATGCTTGATTTTTCACCCTGATAGTTTAGTCCAACTCGGCTTGCCATATTTCATTCATCCTCTGCAGATCATACTATACAAATGTATCTATTAATAAGGAAGCTAAATGTGTAACAAAACCTAACTTACACAGTATCACAGGCAACACGATAAGGTTTTTATTACATTTAGTTTCGCCATTTTGTCCATTTCACATCTCACCTATTTCCCTATTTTCGTATATTGTATTTTGATTTTTCCTTTATACCTAGTAGTGTGGTGACTTATTTTAAGGTTTCGCGAAACCTTTTAGTATTGTTTGCGTCATTATTTTATACTTTATCGCTCGTAATAAATAAAAATTTTTTTTTCACTGTTGTGGACTTGTACCATATTACCAAATGAATGTGTTTAATTTGTTATTTTAAACATCATATTAAATGTATTTGTGACATTTTTAATCAAATGCCTCGATATTCTATATTCTTTTTTTTTTTTTTTTCACAATTAATTATTACTAGTCCTTATACACTTGTTGGACGTGTTAGTCACACCGCAAGTTATATGGACAATAAAATTTATTTTCTTGGTGGAATGACAAAAAAATATAGTGGTACCAATGATTTTTTTTATTTAGACGTTTCAATACCTTTTAATTTGGATTCTACTTTACCAATAGTTGATTTAAGTATCGATGCTCGTCAAATTTATTCTCATTCTAATGGGATATCAACTATTTGTGGTCCTAACAAAGATACGATCTTTCTAATTTTTAGAATTTCTGAAGAAGGTTTTTCTTACTACAATTTTATTATTAATGACCAAGAGTGGATTCCGAGTACACTAGAAACCAATGTTCGATGGTCATCAGCAGTTTGTAATAAAAATGGATCATATATATATGTATATGGTCGTTATGATGTTAATAAACATATGATGGCTATTATAGATACTACCAGCTGGGGTTCAGTATCGTCTGGTTTGAATATAACGTATCTTGCTCCGGCGATCTTATTACCAGATGGAAGAATTGCTTATATCGGCAAAAGTAACATTGGTGATATATCGTTTAATGTATGACTATTTTGATTTATTTTTATCATTATTAGATACGCAATGATTTTAATTGACTGTATGTTTATTATATTAACACAAGTTTCGGAATATTTATATATATAATACTAATGATGGAACATGGAGAAATATGGTAAATAATTTTGTAAAGGAGAAGTGTATTTATGCCAATTTTTTATTCTCTGCTACTTAATGCACAAAATTTGTTACAACACAACTATTCATAGAGTACAAGTGGAATTGAACCATCACCTAGATATTTTCACACAACGGTCTTAAGTATATATCAATTTTAAAAAATACATATATTAGATTAAATAAAGTATTTTTGATAAATTGGGTTAAATAATTTTCTAGCACAAGATGGCCTTATTATTATTTATGGAGGAGTAAACAATATAGGACCTGTTCCCGATCAAATATCAGTTTTAGACACCAAAGTAGACCCTTTTACATGGTCCATTCCTAATATCGATTATGCACCTAGCTCTGCACCATTCAGTGGACATACGGCTACTCTTGTTGGAAATTATATGATTATTGCATTTGGTATGAATTAACTTATATTGATGAAATCTTGCTTTTACTTGAATTAAGTTTATTCAATTTTTCTTCAAATTATTATATTATTTAGGATATTACCGTACTGCTACTACTAAAAGTACTGTTTTAAGTGATCAAATCCATATGATTGACGTGAGAGAAAAAAATAATTACAAGTGGGTTAAAAATTTTACTCCACTAGCCTATCCAACTAAATCACCTGGAGCAGCTCATGCAGCAATAATAGGTGGAACAACTGGTGGTATTGCAACTGTAATAATTATTATATCTGTTAGTTACTTATTATATCGTAAAAAGAGAACTATTATATATGCTCCCCAAGCTAAACATGCAATTAACTGTTAAGTTTTATAGAATGTTAGATAGGCAATAAAATACACATATAACATGATTGAACATACTATATGACCAGATATTTTAACCTTTTTAAATTTGCTTCCTTCTAATCTGTAATAGTAATTTTTTATTTTAAAAAAAATTATTATTTAATTAAAAAAATATATCGGGAAGTTTTCAGATTTAAAATAAAAAAAAAGCAATTATTCAGAGTGATGTTTTACATAAACCCTAAAAATTTAACCGATATCGTTAAAATAATCCTAACGATATCATTTTGGATATTATAATTAATATAATAAAGATATTAAATAATATCGTTAATAATATCATTTTTTAAGATATTTTTTTTTTTTTTTTTTTTTTTTTCCTTATATCTGTACTATATATATATATCCCACGGTTCTTAGTTAAAATTTGTGGTTTTTTTTCTTAATATTTCTCACGGGTGTTGTTTATTTAAAAAGATGGGTAAAAGTCTATCAATATTGGAATAAAAAGTCTATCATTATTAGTCAAAATAAGTATATTAAAGGGCTTTATGGTACGGAACTACGGATACCGTGAGATAAATCAGTTATTTCACGGAATATCATGATTTTCTTTTTTCTTTTTTTTT